GGCCCAGCGAGTGCCGCCAACCTGGTACGTACCTAGGGGAAGGGGCCACCCTGGGTCGGGGTCGCCGGCCCTGCGGGCCTGGGACCTGGATGCGAATAACGTGCTTTGACCTGTGCGGGTCGGGCGCTTCCGTCTCAGAACTTTTCAGCCGCTTCCTGGGGAGAAGTGACGGGCAGGTTATCCGGTCGGATGGATGCGAGAGGTCCCGACCGTGTCCCCCATCCGTCTTGGTGGTCACGGCCCAGAGATCAGGATTTTAAAACGATTCCCAGGTGATTCTAATGGGCAGCCAAGGTTGAGAACCACTGGGTTACTAGTAAGTTAGAATTCCCCCCGCCACCCCTTCCATCCCCACGGGTTGCTGGACCGGCCTCGGTGTTGCATTGGTAAAAATAGCCTTCGCTGGTCCAATGAAAGTCTATTTTTAATTTAATGAAGGAAGGGAATCCCCAGTGTTTAGGGAAAGTCTGCGGGAATCATCCGAAAGATAGGCAGGCCGTCCCATCTGCTTGTGCAGGTTTGGTTCACTATGACTTGACCTTTGGCGGTCTTCCCTGTTATAAGATGAAGGGTCGGTAACTTAAGTCGCAGATGAAAAATTTCTAAAGCGATTCAATTACAAAAGATGATTAAAGTTCTCTCGAGGTGCCGGAGGGAGATGTTTTGTCTACTTACCTAATGAAATCCTGCCCGAGTAGAAGACACCGGAGCATGGATGTGGGGAGAGCTTTTGATGTCATGTTAGCAAGACTCATGCAATTATTACATCTTCAATTGTTAGGTGTTCAGCGGGCCCCTGTGCTGCCAGCTTAAGCTATGCAGCATGGGTTGAGGTGGCCGCATCCTGCAGGGGTCTCACCTCCGCGTGCTGGATGCTCGGAGGTGTCCATATGCTGGCTGCAGCCCTTCCCAGAACGGCAGTCGTCGGTCGAGTATGCCGCGGGTTTGGGGATGGGGAAGATTAGATTGCCCCTCTTCATTTTAATGTGGAAATGTACAGATGTCATGGTGATAGATTAACGAGGCCATTTGGACCGACATCGTTGATGTGGCGTTAAAAAGAAACCCTTTTCTCTGCCTTCAACCTGGGTTATTAACTCACCCAGTGAAACGATCTGGCTGTTTTGCAACTTCATCTTTAGTTTTGCCCCCACGAATATCTGAGATGAATTCTGGGCCTCTTTATTCTGACCGTTTGCTTTGCTACTCATTTTTCTCAATCAGAAAGTATCCTTCCCCCCCTTCTGTGAGTTGTTGTTACATTGAATGGGTATTTGGCTTATTTTGTACCACGGTATGGTAAACAGACTTTTTTTTCCCTCTGGACTCTGAAACACGCTGACCATTGAACTTGAATTTGGAATATACCCCAAGAATGTTTTCCTTTAATGATATAATGTGGTCTGTTTTCAAGAAAAGGTCTTTGGGTAGAGGTTTGTATTGTTTCTCTTTCAGTGATGGTTTCCTGGAGAATCCGAAGTTTTTCTATAGCTTTCAGAGACAGTGTTCTGCCACCTGATCCTAATAACTAATACCCCCATTATCTTGCCTCACTAAGGTTTTGTTTAAAAACAGAAACTTAGTATCTTTAGGGAACTCTCTTTTCTTACTGGTTGGTCCATGGAATTTTTAAAAGATGTCTTTAGAACTGGAATTGATCACTTCAAAAAAAAATCAAGATTAAGGTTCAAGCAAGTTGGTTACTAATTAAGAAAGAGGTTAACTAGGGTTAGTCTTGTGAGATAGTCACATGGGCTAGAATTGGCAGCCTTAAGACTCACTGGGGTAAAAAATCCAGGCTTTAGGGAGAGACATTTTCTTGGTATTATTTCTGTACCTCATTGTACAAGGTGTCTTAGCACCACTGGGCTGAGGCTTTTAAAATTCGAATATTGTTTGGCAAGGAAGGAATGTTCTTCAGAGCAGCTGCCAAGAAGCCCTTTTGTTAGTGCCAACTTCAAACAGCTTGGCTTGAAATGAATTTTCAAGGAATCATAAGGCTCCCACAGGGGAGCTGTGAAAACTCGTAGTTTCTAGTTGGGGATCTTAACATTTCCATGGCTATTTTGAACAGTTTTTCAAATTTCTCTTTATTTCCTAAGAATTTCAATTCCTATTCCTAGTTCCATTTTCTTTTGGCAGCTCTCCAACTTAGTAGTGAAGTTCTGTAATTCAATGTTTTCCCCCCTCTTCATTCCGATTAATGGACACTGTGTATCATTTAGTATTCTTTTGATGGGTATGTGTAGAGGAGTGAGGGAGATTATTTGCAATAAATATTTTTAAGCCAGAATATCTGGAGTTGATAATTTGTTCTTTTTTCCTAGACTGTCTACTTGAAGTATAAGAGCTTCTTGAAGTTTGACTTTTAAAAGCAGTGGTGAGGTCATATATTAAAGGCTTGACATATATGGTAGATAATACATGTTTGTTCCTTCTCTCTTTAGGAAGAAACCTATGTGTAGTAGACACTTTAGTCTACCTTCGGGCACATGGCACATCTTCATCTTCTGTATTCTTGACAGTTTTAGAATGATGTCTGTAGAAACAGAAAGGATTTAAAAACTCAATTTAAAATACTAAATTTAAAGTGTATGTAGCTCTCACCCTTAAACTTATCAAGTGTATTTTTCTCATGTATATATTTATTTAAAGTATAAATTTAATTTAAATTTTGTTGTCTTTTTGTTTCAGTATGAAAACCCATGGACAATACCAAATATGTTGTCAATGACGAGAATTGGCTTGGCTCCAGTTTTGGGCTATTTGATCATTGAAGAAGATTTTAATGTGGCACTAGGAGTTTTTGCTTTAGCTGGGCTAACTGATTTGGTAAGTTATAAAGTTATTTCCTCTGTTTTGCTCCCCTTCCACATCCCAGGGTCTCCACGGCATGGAAACAGCACAGCCTTAGTCTGCTTTTTCTTGGAAGGAGATCCTCAAGATGAATTTCACCTGGCACTTTATTTAAGGCCTTGTCTTTAGCACCTGGAACTCCATTATTCTTTATACTGTCTAAGGAAGGTAGTGGAGGTTGTATGAAGGCATAGGAGAGGGACTTTTTTACTCCTTTTTATTTATTTTTTAAAAAATATGTTTTTATTGATTTTTAGAGAGAGAGGGAGGGAGAGGGATAGAAAGGTAGAAACATCCATGATTGGCTGCCTCCTGCATGCCCATCTTTGAGGTTCGTAGAAACAAAATTTCACCTGCCCAGTAGCTCTGGTGAGCAATATGGTATTGGCTGAAGATTTTTCAAGATAAACAAAGGAGGGCATTTGCGTTGTTACATGGCATTTCCAAATATGCATCAAATATAGTTGCAAAATGGCTGCCACTTCTGTTTTTCAGAGTTTAGGTCCTGTTTGTCATAACTTCTCCCCATTCTCACAATCTCTCTTTTATTCCTGCTTTTACTTCTGAAGTCTGTGAAGGCATCCACTCATTATTAGTATGGTCTCCAAGTCTGTCCAAGGTTATTTATACTGATAATGGAATTTTGTTTTTTCATAACAGACAAGATCTTTTTTTGATGGTAGGTTATTTTTGTTTTTGTTTTTTTTAGTTTCCACATGAGATTGTAATATTCACTGAATAGGAGGGGCCTCATTTACATTTTTCTAAGTATATAAGACATTGTGTGTGGAAACCTGAGTTAACTGGCACCATATTTCACATTTATTCCATGGAGGTTTTGATGCCTCTAGAATGGCTGCTGGGCTGATGGCTGGACTCATGGGAGGTTTAAGCAGGAGAATGACAAGGCCTGATTTATGTTGTGTGTGGGAAATGGATTTTAAGAAGGTGGAAGCAGAGAGGCTAGTTAGGAGGCTTACAGTAATCTAGGGGGGTTGGTAGTTTGGACTAGGGTGGGAGTTTGGAATGGGGGAGAAATGAATGGGTTTGAGATATGTTTTGAAGATAGAACACATTGGATTGAATGTGTGAGGTGAGAAAAAGGAGTTAAATATGGCTTTTTAACAAGCAGGTATATTGAGGTTAACATTTTCTGTGATTAACAACACTTAGAGTAGGGTAGGGTTTGTGGAAAAATACCAAGAACTATTATGCCTTTTCAAATAGAGTTATCATTTGGGTAGTTGAATGTAGTTAGTGTGGAGATGGAGGAAGTCAGTGATTAGAGATAGATTTGGGAGTTGTCTGTATATAGATGGTCTGGGAAAGTCATCGAAGCTGTGATGGGATCAGAGAAATGAGCAATTAAGTACAGCAATGGAAAGGGAATGAGTAAATGACACCGAAAAGGAATAGCTGGCGAGAAGGAAAACATTAGGCAATAGGGCGTGTCACAGAAGTTAGATGAGGAAAGTGCTTCAATTTGTGTTGTGGTCAAGGAAGCTAAAAATACAGACTTTATTGGTGACCTTTATGAGTACCGTCTGTAGAGAGAGGGGACAGTCAGAGTGGGCTGGTTGTCAAATGTAGGGTGATAATGGCAATAGACAACACTTTGAGGAAGTTTTGCTTTATAGGGAAATAAAGAAATAGGGTCAAGGAAGGGCAGTTTTAAAGATATTATATATAACATACATACATACATACTGGAGAAATTTTTCTTCTTAATAAACTAATTAGGTAGGAAGGGAGAGATTGAGGATGCAAGGAAGGAGAATGGCAACTCACAGAAGGTGAGACGGCCTGGAATCAGGTCTCAGGGAAGGTAAAGAGAATGAATGGATGCCGGTAAGTGGTGGATTTGGAGGCGGGAATATGAAGGAGTGCTGAGGGTCTGTTTCTATTTTTCATGGAAAATGTAGATATGGTAATGAGCTAGAGTGAGCGGCTTTAGGAAGGATGGAGTTAGTTTGAGGTGAGAGCAGACAGTGTGAAAAGAGAAGGTAAGCAGATACAGGGTTGCCAGGCAATATTGAGTGCCCACGGGAGATTTGTGGTCATAAATTTGAAGAGAGATCAGTCAGGCCGACACCCTATCCAATGAGCCTAACCGGCTAGGGCTATTTGTTTTCTTGATCAGTGTGCAGCTGCTTGGGTGCAGGCCTGGCTGGAGGACGTGGATAGTTGTGTTTAAGCAGGATTGAGGGAAAGTGGAGTGGGAGTTACAGGTGTTTGCAGAGCAGTGATGATGTTGATGACCTTGGAACCCAATGTGGGTAGAGTAACAGTGAGGATAAGAGGTGATGATGGGGAAAAACTGGGAGGTTAATGTCCCTGAGATCAGAAACTAAACTAAAAGCTGAATCTTCCAAGGCTCCTACTCCCAGTTCTAGGCACTTCCTGATAGCCAGTTTTACGCCTAGTCTACCTCAGAAGAAAATAGATTCTTTCAGTTGTGGTAGTAATATCTCATAACTACTTTTTGGGGGGGATTTACTAAATGTTGATTAATGAAGACAACCAAGCCTTTGAGGTAGGTAGTACTGTCTCTCTTTTCCAGGTGAGGGAACTGAGGCTTAGAGGGGCCAAATAATTTGCCCGAGGTCACACAGTAAGTGGGAGAGCCAGAACTTGAATCACTTATGTTCTGTTGCAAACAGCAAGTTCTTTTCTTTTTCTTTTCTTTTTTTAAAAATATTTTTAAATGTATTTCTATTGATTTTAGAGAGGAAGGGAGAGGGAGAGAGAGTTAGAAACATCAATGATGAGAGAGAATCATTGATCGGCTGCCTCCTGCACACCCTACACTGGGGATCGAGCCTGTAACCCAGGCATGTGCTCTGGCCAAATATTGAACCGTGACCTTCTAGTTCATAGGTCGACGCTCAGCCATGCTGGCTGCCAAACAGCAGGTTATTAACCATTGTCCTGTGCTACTGCTGTCTCCTCTAGCTCATTGGAATATTTGAGATATGGAGGACTTATTTATCCTATAAAGATGTACCATGTTAAATTACATCTAAATTAATTTGATTTTTTTCCCTTGGAAATAGAACTAGAAAATTCAAATATTTTTGAAGCTTAAAGTTAAATAAAGTGAGTAAAAGCCAGGTAGGGATTTGGAAAACCAGAAAATATCTGCCTTGCTTAATGAGGATAGGCAATACTTGGTTCAGTCTATTTTGTGACCCCAGAGTGGGTCTGGAGATGTGGATTTTTGTGGTAAGACTTTGAATATGGCAACTAATTTATATTTTTGAAAGCTCTGGCAGGTCATACAAAGCCAGCCTGTAGGCCCCATTTGGCCCACTGGCAAGCAGGTATGGCCTCTGCTTTAAAATGTAACTTATTTGCAAGAATATTAAATAAGTAATTTTTGTATCAAAAATTTTAAGTAGGCCAGGCATAGAGGATTGAGTTTTTTATTCAACTATAGGTCATGCAAATGCAGCCAGATGTGGAATTAACAGTGGCACTAAATTTTAAAAAAATGAAAATAATAACTTAAAACTGAGGGAGTTGGATGGTAGAAGAGTAGGTAGGAATGAGTCTCACAGTTTAAGGGAAGTCCTTGCAAGTAAAGGCAGCTTCAGCCCAATGCTCAAGAGAGGGGTCTCTTAGTCCATGCCCTGTCACGCATGCTTTCTGTGAGTTTTGGGGAGATTTCTACATCTCTAAATTTATGTCTGAGTTCATCCCACAGAGGGGCATTGTGGAAACATTGAGAAATACCAGATGGCCTTGAGAAAGAAAAGTACTGTAGACAAGTGATATTATTTTCAGACCAGTTTGTAATTTAAAAGCTAAACATATACCAGTCAAAGAATGAGAAGGTTTGGGGATAAGAAACAGAAGAGATTTTACTTACATTTTATGAAAGTATAGTTGTTATCCCGGTATCTCTTCAAGATAACTACTCTGTGCCTATTATGACATTTATTTAAAAAACAACAACTTCTATTTTCAGTTGGATGGATTTATTGCTCGAAACTGGGCCAGTCAAAAATCAGCTTTGGGAAGTGCTCTTGATCCACTTGCTGATAAAATACTTATCAGTATCTTATATGTTAGCTTGACCTATGCAGATCTTATTCCAGGTAAGAACACCGTCATGTGCACTTTTTATAGCATAGGGAAGAAGGGCATTCATCAGCTTAGGATTTCTCTTGATAGACAATTTTTGTCCCCAAAATATCTTTTTTAAATTTTAAACTGTTTCCTTAATTCTAAACTATTGAACTGTTTGGTTTGTCAAATTATTTGTTTTACTTTAGAATTTATATCCTTATTATAGTAGTACAGCTCATTTAGTAAGATTGCTTAAAGTTAAAATTGAGCAAATATTTCATAGTGCCAATTCCCATTACTCTAGAATGTTTTGAAACCATGTTATATATTCTCAGCGCCTAGCTTTTTGAAAACAATTTAAAGTTTTCCTTAGTACAATTTAATCATAATAAATGAGAGGTCTGAAACCCTGAAGATGTCTAAAATGTCACATTATTTTTACTTAGATACCATTGTGCAGTTTCAAATCATGCATGTTTGTACAGTATGTTATCTGAATGCTCTTTCTAACAAAACGGTATGATCTTTTGCCTTGTGTTTTGCATGTGCGTTTCTGGTTGTTCATTTTGTACTTTACCTGCATTTCTTAGTTTTTCTCCCTTGGTTCAGTTTAAACTGTTTCCAAGAGTTCAGAATAGAATCTGAGAATAAAGAAGCTGCCACATGGTCCTTCAATAAATAGCATGTATTGTTAACATTTGAGAGGAAGAAGTTTCAGACTGGTATAGAATCCTCTATCTAGACATTGTTTTTCTCCTCTACCTTAAGGCTTTTAAATTCCCATACCAAATTAAAAAATGAATTGGACTAGTGGTTATATTTATGTGCTTCTGTGAAAGTCAGAATTGTGTTAGTATATGATTGGTGGTGTTGAAGGGGCAGGAGTAGTCTCAAATAAATACAAATACTTTGTA